ATGGGTTGCTGGCATTCCAGGCATTCTATTAACCCCCTGCATCAAAGTGGCCCCTCATATCAGATTTTAAGCATGGAACATAACTGTGACTTTTCACCAAGGATATGTTGGCTGTCACAATTGGAGGACATATTTTCAGCAGGCAGGGATGATGGATAACCTGAAATGTTTGGGCCAGCTCCACAAAATGAAGAATTATCCTGTGTTCTGATTTTCTAATGTCCTTTTAGACTTTATCCAGGTCCTAAAAGTAATCTGCAAGAATATCATATGTTCTTTTTTTAAATTTACCATGACAATCTATAACTACTTGTCTTAATCTAGTGTCTATATACCCATTAGGCCATTTCCTCTTATTCTATAAGTCAGATCTAGTCATTCCTATGCCAACAGGTTTTGCTGTTGCCTCCATTCACAGTATGGCCCTTTTCTTTGTTAATTTTTTTAAAAGATTTTATTTATGTATTTGACAGGCAGAGTTACAGACAGTGAGAGAGAGAGAGAGAGAGACAGAAAAGTCTTCCTTCTGTCAGTTCACTCCCCAAGTGGCCACAACAGCCAGAGCTGCGGCAATCCAAAGCCAGGAGCCAGGTGCCAAGCACCTGGGCCATCCTCCACTGCTTTCCCAGGCCACAGGAGAGAGCTGGACTGGAAGAGGAGCAACCAGGACTAGAACTGGCACCCATATGGGATGTCAGCACCACAGGCGGAGGATTAACCTAGTGCGCCAAGGCGCTGGCCCCTCCTTTGTTAATTTTATGCAGAACAGCCTCTATCTCTAAAAGTCATACTCATCATTAGCAGGAGTATCTGACTATGTCATGGTGTTTTTTGGTATACTTATTCTCAGGTGTTACAGAAATGAGTAATATTTTACAATAAAAACTAAGCACAATATTTACATCAGTATTCCTGAAGTCACTATAATTTTTATACCATGCATACAATTTTTACAGTATACACACATGAATTTTTCAAGTTTTTTTCATAAACACTTTTTCTGTCTTATATATTTTAGCCCATAGCATTTAGGATCCATAGCATCCTTATGTTCAGTTGCACCCCAGATTGTTTTGCATGCTACTAATGTATTGCAAACCAGCTTTTTGAAAACCACTGATTTACATGTACAGCGATTAGTCCCCAGAAAAAAAGACTAAAACACTTAAGATAATCATTGGAAATGGGAGTGCAGATAAAGGAATCAAATGATCATCATTGTTTTGTTTTTGAGCTTTAAGACAATTTTAAGAAATACATATAAACCAAGCTGGAGCACTGAAAACGATGCTGAGTCGGCAGGATGCAGCCCCATCTCTTTTCACACAGAGGACTGTTGGCTTCTTTGAGCCAGGAATGGAAGCAGTGATCACCTTTTGAGGACCCACTGATATAGCCCTGTCCATAACTTTCAAAAGCCTTTTCCTAAATTCTTAACTGTAACTTTACATACAAAATAATATTAATAAGTATAACATGTAACAGTATAAATACTTAGCATTTTGTCTGTCATAGTAAAAGCTATAGTTGAACTGTGCCGGGTGTACTTGTAACATGATTACTGAATTGAGCTTACTGTTATAGATTTCCTTTTGGCCTTGTTATTCACCCCAACAGCAGGCAAATCAATTATTCTAATGAAAGTGTTGCGGAAACACTTTTCAGTGCTTTAAAGGATATCAGTAAGCACGAGGTAAACATAATCCTGAGGCAGAAGGTTTGCGTGTATGCTGTCACCTGAGAAGTTTCATGGTATCGGCAGATTTCTCCAGAGCCAAAGAGTTTTAAAAAGGATTGTAGCAACCCTTTCTTTATTCCACTACAAAAACTGTAGGGAGGTATGAGTATGAAATATTATAGTACAAAGCACTAAATGGAATGATTGCGTTAAAATTGATAAATTTTCATGAAAACTAAAGCTTATCTAGATAATAAAACATGAACTTCTAAATACTATTGTCTGCTAAACATAAATTGCTTTCTATAGTGACTCAGATATTACAAGACCTGCAATTCCATTTTGACAAATGTCAGGTAAAGGATTTTTGGTTTTTGTTTATTTTCGTCCCTGTTGTGTATGCCTCTGTCATATAGCTGCATATTTCACTGGGGAATGGGACTTCCCAAACTAGACTTTATCCTTGGAAAAAAGGCACGAAAATCAGATTCAAATTTACTTTCACAAGATACTTGAATAAGTACTTGTCAGTATTGAGTGAGATCTTCTTGTGGCCTCTCCTTCCCAGCATGCAAATGCCGTGGCCCCAGATTCCATAAGACATGCAATTACTGCTAAACCTTACAGCTACCACAAGGGGAGACCCTGCTTGGTATCAAGAGCTACAACTCTGAAACTTGAACAGTCCTATTTTACACTATGTGTTTCTGTGATTCAAACTGGTAATTTTCTTTCTTTTTTTGACAGGCAGAGTTAGACAGTGAGAGGGAGAGAGACAGAGAGAAAGGTCTTCCTTTACCATTGGTTCACCCTCCAATGGCCGCCGCGGCCAGCGGCCAGCGCACCACTGATCCAAAGCCAGGAGCCAGGTGCTTCTCCTGGTCTCCCATGCGGGTGTAGGGCCCAAGCACTTGGGCCATCCTCCACTGAGCTGGCCAGGAAGAGGGGCAACCGGGACAGAATCTGGTGCCTGGACCGAGACTAGAACCCAGTGTGCTGGCGCCACAGGCGGAGGATTAGCCTATTGAGCCACACAGTGCTGGCCGAGCCTTACTTTTGCTACTGTTCAACAATATATAGAAAAATAGTAAAATCAATCTGGTAAGAGATAAGAAATTCACCTAAAAATTCTGAGGACCATCTCACAAGATATTACTAAACTGAAAGTTCTGTCAAGTAATGAGGATTGAGCATCAGCCTAGTAAAGACTATTTTGCTAGATGCTTCTCATTTTACAGAAATGCCACGGGCTGAGACTTTGATTCTTACTCTTCTATTCCTTACAAATGCCCTTTATTTTACATTAATCTCCTAGAGCCAAATCTTACTTATGAAAAAGAATACACAATAATTGTTGACAACTGGGAGAGACAGACCTCCACACAAGGTCAGGACACATCCTAAGTACATAATTTAAAACTTTTGGGAGAGTATGATGACGATTGATTGACTGACTTATTATAATGTGTTTCTATTTCCTTTTTGGCCAGGCCATTTCTTTATACTTTACATCTCCAGAAAAGAAAATGAAATAGTATATATCAAACAACATAAAACCAAGAAGGGAAGTGTAGAGGAAAAATGTTTTGCCAAATAATTTTAAGTGGATAGACATCTGAATGGGATAGTTGGACACGTATCATCTAGCCTTTTAAATCAGAACAGAATACCATTGGGTCCACTTAAATGACTATGCCTTATAGTCATAATACTTCTATCATCTTACCCTCTTGAATAATACCTTAAGACATCCTAACAGGCACTTACTTCATAAGTTTAGAATGTCTTTTTACTTGACAGACATAGTGTCCCTGGCTGTTGAGACCATTCAGGGAGTGAACCAGTAGATAGAAGACATGTCTGTCTCTGTCTGTGTCTTTCTCCCTCCCTCCCTGTAACTCTAACTTTCAAATAAATTAACTAATTTTTAAAAAAAAAATACTTTAGGGCCGGCGCCATGGCTCACTTGGTTAATCCTCCACCTGCTCGCCAGCATCCCATATGGGCACAGGGTTCTTTCTAGTCCTGGCTGCTCCTCTTCCAGTCCAGCTCTCTGCTGTGGCCAGGGAGGGCAATGGAGGATGGCCCAAGTGCTTGGGCCCTGCACCCTCATGGGAGACCAGGAGGAAGCACCTGGCTCCTGGCTTCGGGTTGGCATAGCTCCGGCCATAGCGGCCATTTGGGAGGTGAACCAATGGAAGGAAGACCTTTCTCTCTGTCTCTAACTCTGTCAAATTAAAAAAAAAAATACTTTAGCAACCCCTACCATACATACTGGGTATATAGACTTTCAAAATACCTTTTCTCTAACTTTGTGTGTTTGAATTACTGGTTCATGAGTGTAGTATTAGGAAAAGAGTTGAAGTTACAGGGTTAATTTCAACCTCACTTGCCTAACTAGTCTGTTTTTTCCATTGTTCTTTATGGTGTTAAATATACATGTTATGTACCAGTTTTCCCTTTGGATTTCTTGGATTAAATGTCAACCCAAGGTAATGATGAGGAAAAACAGAGAAAGTTTTCTTTGCACTGCTTTGAGATGAAGTTCCAAACCTGAAGAAATGCTACAGGTGGTAATTGTGGGATATAAGGAAGAGGTCATTTGAAGAAATTAAATAGTTTAGTTCTCAGGTTAGTAACCAGTTCTGCATGGGCAGGACTAAAGAACTCCATCAAGTAGTCCTGACTCAGATCATATCTTGCCTTCCATGGCTCATAAATAGAGATTTCAGGTTATTTAGAGAGTCATCATGTGTGTCCTCTGATTGGTCTAGGTGTACTTCAAGAGTATTTAACTCATGAGTGATCTTCTAAGAGGCTGAGAATTTTCTTCTGCAGGTTTTGAACTTTCTCACTTCTGCTGCATTAGACTCAGGAGGTAATCAGGCCATCATACACAGTCAGATCAATTATGAAGTTAGGAGGTCTAAAAGGATTTTACCTTCTCATTAACACTCTGGGCTCTGACTGCACGATAGCTATTCTATTGCTATGCCTATTACACATTATTCTCATTTTCATCCTTCAGTTGGAAATTTTCTTGCAGGCAGAGACTATACCTTCTTCATCAGTGTATTCTCCATACCTGACACAGTATCTGGTTTAAGAGCTACTCAGTAGGTGTATGTATTGGAATATAAAAATTGCCTCACATGTGAATATGAGTTATATTTGTTCAAGTTAGAAAAAAGTTGAATCAATTTTTATCCTCACTTAGAGATTTGAATTTAATATCAAAATACTGCATTAGTCATTTGTCATGTTCTTGTCATTTTACTCAAATCAATGTTTAAAAATATTGTTTTCTTTTACTTTACTTCAGAACTGAACAATGCTACAAAAACTTTCTTCACTAAAGAATATTTAAAAATAAAACAAAGCTTTCAAAAATCAAGTTCTGCAAAATGGCCCCTACCAAGCTGCAGAAAAGCATTTCATCTTTTTGGCGGTAAGGAAATGAATTAAAAAAAAAATTTAACTTTGTCTGGAGTCTCTTTCTAAGTAGATTTCTTACCTGACCTAGAAATGAAAGTGGAAACACATTTCTCTATTCAGTTTTAAGTAAAGATTTTGCTAAGCATCTCCTTGCTAAAAGCTGCAGCCGTGTAAGATGAAAATGATGACTATACAGTAAGAGCAACTTTGAGGGACAACACTTTAAATTGATTTGCCTTGCCATTGATCAATGTTTAATGGGTAATTAAAATGCATCTCAAAGTTATATTTTTATTATTAATAAAAGTTTAATGTGTTTTCTAATTTGCTCTATCTGAAAGGTAATCTACGGGAGTGAAATTGACACTTTGAGATGCAATGATCTTTTACAGCCCTTGTCTCAACTGTTGAGGAACAGTGTTTTGTTTTTTCATACTATTTGTTGAGCTCTTTACTTAGTGTAATATTAATCTTATGAGTATAAAGGTTACTGAAAATAGATCTTTGTAAAAAATAAGAATGGCAATGGGACAGGGAGGAGAACGAAGGGTGTGAGCACAGACTGGAGGGAGGGGAGGGTAGAAAGTATCACTGTGTTCCTGAATCTGTATATAGGAAATACATGAAATTTGTGTACCTTAAATATTTTAAAATTTTTAAAGTATATTTTAAAGTTTTTGACACATTTTTCATATTTATGGGGAACAATGTGATGTCTATAAATGTATAATGTGTACTGATCAAATCAGAGTAATTCACATTTCTATCTCTTCATTTCTTTTTGTAAAATGAAATATTTATCTATTTGAAAGGCAGAGTAGTAGGGAGAGGGAGGGAGAGGGAGAGATAAAGAGAAACATCTTCTGGCCACAGCTTCACTCTAAATGGTCACAATGGCTGTGGCTGGCCCAGGCCAAAGCCAGGAGCCTGGAACTCCATCTGGGTGTCCCATTTGGGTATCAGGAGCCCAACTACGTTGTCCATAATCCATTGCTTTCCCAAGTGCATTAGCAGGGAACTGGATTGGAAGCATAGCAACCAGGACTCAAATAGGCACTTCTAATATGGGATGCTGGTATCACAAGTGGTGGCTTAACCCACTGTGCCACACCGCTGGTCCCTTCTTATCTTTTCTTTATGCTTAGAGCCATTAAGCTCCCCTTTTCTAGTTCTTTATAAAGTATGCTAGAGTACTTAAGAAAATTCATGGAAAATGGAATTAAAAGCTTAGTTTGTTTGCCAAAAAATTTGAAATTCATGCATAGTCTTTTCATAATCGGTTTCTCATAATCTTTTTGAAGACCCCTCATATGCATGGATTTCAAAAATTTTTGCACCCAAATAACTTTACCTTTTAATTCCATTTTCCATGAACTTTTTGATTCATGTATCCATGTATCTTTTTTGCTAGGGACTTGTTTTATTTTTTCTGCTTTCAAATTTGTAGGGATGGAGTTCTTTTTATTATATTATTATTTTTAAACTTATTGCTGTTTTCTCTTTGTATTTTTAATATTATTTGATCATGCTTTTTTTTACTGATCTTGCCAAGTATTGGCCAATCTTAAAATTTCTTTTAAATTGTGTGCCGGCGCCGCGGCTCACTAGGCTAATCCTCCGCCTAGCAGCGCCGGCACACCGGGTTCTAGTCCCGGTCGGGGCACCGGATTCTGTCCCGGTTGCCCCTCTTCCAGGCCAGCTCTCTACTGTGGCCAGGGAGTGCAGTGGAGGATGGCCCAAGTGCTTGGGCCCTGCACCCCATGGGAGACCAGGAAAAGCACCTGGCTCCTGGCTCCTGCCATCGGATCAGCGCGGTGGGCCGGCCGCGGCGGCCATTGGAGGGTGAGCCAACGGCAAAGGAAGACCTTTCTCTCTGTCTCTCTCTCTCACTGTCCACTCTGCCTGTCAAAAAAAAAATTTTCTTTTAAATTTCCAATTTTTGGAATTCACACTATTGTATCTTTATTTCTGCTTCATTAATATCTGCTCTTTAGTAAATTCTACTGTTATTAACTTTATAATTACTCTACTCTTTTTATATTAAGGTGATTTCCTAAGTCATTATTTATATCTTTTTACTATCTTTAAGTTATTAGTTAAGGTCATAAAGTTCCCTCTGATCACATGTAGTATTTTTGTTATTCTTCACTTCTAACTATTTTTATAATCACATTTAATTATATATTGACTAAGTTATCTTGGTTAAAAACAAAATTATACAAAGTTAGAATTATATTAAAAAATTACAGTCTATGATTTTCATAGATATACCACACTACTTGACATACCATTCCATCTGTTCTATGTACTCCCTAAGAAGTATACTTTTCAACTTAATTTTTCAAAATTGATAGAGCCAGTTAAGATGAAACGGGGATCTTATGGGAAAAAAATATACATTCACATGAATGTGTTGGGCTCCATTAAATTAGTGTTTTTTCCACCAAAAATATACAAAAAAAAGTTTCAAAATATACAAAAAAAAAGTTTCCTACCAAATGAAGCTTATAAAAACTTCTCAATGCAGCTTTAAACTGACTCAACATTTACCTGTAATAGACCCATTCCTTTTTACCCTGTGAAGTAATACATTGGATATATTGATGAGTAAGCAGACATGTTTTAAATCTCTTTTTATGAAGGCATATTCCCTGTATTTTTACATAAAATAGGCAGTATGAGAAGAAACAAGCACTCTAGACACATGGGAGCTAGCATTTTACATCTTCTATCAGGTACTCATTGCCCTGATGACTGTGCCCATCCTAATTCCTTTCCCTGAAGTAGCTGCTGTTTCTGCATTGCATCATCAATTTATCTTATCATTATCTGGTTGACATGGCTCCCAAAGATCATGATAATTCATTCCTAAGTAACCAAACATATAATTTTATATTACTGTAACACATATAAACATGAAAATATATGCATACCCAAAGAAAGCTAGGAGGTTTTATTAAAATATGTTTGAAAGAAGAAAGAGTTCCACATTATATACTCATATCAAGGAAATGAAAATGTCAGGATTTAAAATTCCATGCCCTGATTTTTCTGGCCATAACAAAAACACAAGATGAAATGCACGTGTCTGAGACTTAGGACAGATCTGATCCATCCTTTCTGGGGATTTGTTTTATTTGGCCATTAGTTTGTTTGAAAGTGTTAGATTGATTCTGCAAGTTTAAACATGCTCAGTATATATTAAAAGATACTTACCTGCAGAGAAAACCAGGCTTGTCTCTAATAGGAAAAAAATGCATGCTTAAACAGCAGGACTATGAACATAACCCAGAAATCTGCCTTCTCAGAGAGCTGGGATCAGAGGAATTTTATGCTGTAGACTTGGTACAGGCCTTTTAGGGAAAAGGTAAAGGTACAATTAACCATTACATTTTCAGTGAAACTGGAACAATTTTTTTCACAAGATAATTTTTAAGAGAGCCTACAGATTCAAAAACCCCTTTTTCTTTTTTCTTTTGGCAGAATTAGATTCCGCTTTTGCCGTACAATACGTGTACAAGTGTGAAATGTACTTCAGGTACTGAACCTATAATATGTCCTATATTATCACAAACTACTTCAAAACAAGTAGTTACATACAGTCCCACTAAAATGTAAAATTGCAGATCCTCAAGAGTTAGGCTGTGCTTAAAATAGGATTGCACAGTGTTCCTCTCCTTCACAGAAAAGAACCAAAAGGACAAGTAAACAGCTTCCCTCGGTGGTGAGTAACCAAGAGAGAACACTAGAACTCAACAAAGGAGACAGAAAACCCCACAGGACACTGAGACCTAGGATGCAGCATCAAGAGTGGAACAGAGTGCACCTGCACCCATGCCCAGCCTCTACAGCTGGAGAGCAATCTCCATTGCTAGAGAGAGGAGACAGGAAAGCCCCAGCACAAGTATCTCTAGTGTGCAATCTTAACTAAAGAAGGGATCCACGGTCACTACAGGCTTGGAACCCAAACAAGGAAGCAATGGGGAGTATATACAGCAGCTTTGCTTCTGCAAAGGAACTCCTATTGTCTCCTTCCACAATTCCCAGAGCACAGACTGCAGGAGGGCAACACCATCTTGATAGAGGAGTCACTGTCAAAATCTGTACTGCCCTAGAGGACAGAAATTCCTGCTTATCTCCCCCACCCTCAATTTCTGGGACCAAACTGACATTCCACTGCACTAGCAAAAGGGACAGCAGTCTCCAAAACCCAACTAGACCCTAGCAGCAACAGTGAACTCATCACCTAAACCCAAGTGGTAGAGTGCCCTACACAGGACAGGTGGTTTGACACAGCAGGATAGGTACTCCTCCCAGGACCTCAGAAACTGGGGTGCTTGCCTCTGTGTACTTAAAACCTACACTCCCTTCTTCCCCTCAAGGCAGCACATGTTCACCCTGGATTCTCATCCAGAACTGCTGGGGCTCCCTTCCTGACTCCATCCTGGTTTTGGTGAAAAAGGGCAGTCATGCATATCTACCCCAGACTCCAGTCCCCATCTGTTTCCCTTCCTGAGCCCACCAGGATTTTGTTGGGCACAGAGAGCTGTGCACATCTGCCTCAGATTTAGGCCTGGAACTCCAGTTATGCCAGCCAACACCTCCAGGACTTGGTGACTCTGCAACCATGGCCATCAATAACAAGGAAAGAGATATAAGGGGACTACACTTAAGCATCCAGCTGGAACTAAAGCCAGAGTAGCCTGACAGAACCAAAGGCATAGCCAAGGAAAATTCATCAATCCTTGAAAACAGTATAGACAACTGATCCATCAGATGTGTAACTACCAACATAAGGTCAAAAGACATATGAAAAAGCAAGACAATAAGATGCCTGAAAAGGAACACAATACTGCTTTAATATCAGACTGCAAAGAAACTGAGACAAATGAAATGCTTGATGGAGAATACAAAAGAATGATTATGATACTTAAAAAGATACACGAGAATACAGAAAGATAGTTAAATGGATTAGAAAATCAATGCATGATACAATTAAGCAGAGATAGATACCTTAAAAAGGAGGCAAACAGAAATCTTGAAAATGAAGAACTCAATAAGCCAGATAAAAAATACAGTTGAAAGCCTTAACAATAGACTAAATCAAGCAGAATGACGAATATCTGAATTTGAATACAGGTCTTTTGAAATATCCCAGTCACACACACAGAAAGGAAAAAGAATGAAGACAGACCCCAAGACCTTTTGGATGCCCATTAACTGAATCAATATTTGATTTTTGAAAATTCCCAAGGGAGAGACTTAGAAAGCCTATTAAATGAAATCATAGCTTAAAACTGTCCCAGTGTGCAGAAAGATATGACATCAAAATATAGGAGACCCAGAGGACTCCAAACAGACATGACCAGAAAAGAATTTCACCATCAGACATTATAGTCAAACTCTCAAAGGTACAACACAAGGGAAGAACTCTAAAATCTGTAAGAGAAAATCACTAAGTACCTTTTAAGGGACATATTTTACAATAACAGCAAATTTTTCACCAGAAACTTAAAGACAAGGAGGAAATAGAATGCTGTATTACAAGTTCTGAAAGAAAAAAAGAAAAACTACAACCAAGAATACTTTGCCTGGGGAAGCCATTCTTTATAAATGGAGATGAAATACTTCCTAAGATAAACAAAAACAAGGAATTCATCACGACCAGACTGGCCTTACAGAACATACGTAAGGGAGTCCTACACACAGAAACCAAGAATGATAACTACCATTATGAAATACATAGAAGTATAAAGCCCACTAGAAAAAGAACTCAAAATAAACCAAAGGAATTTTTATAAAAGGATGAAGTCATTTATCAAAAATAACCTTGAATATAAAGAACTAAATTTCTCAAAGAAAAGATACAGACTGAATGACTGAATAAGGGAAACAAGACCCAATAATATGCTGCCTTCAAGAAATCGCATCACCAGTAAAGACACACAAAGCCAGAAAGTCAAAGGGTGGGAAAAGATACTCCATGCAAATAAAAACCAAAAGTGATTGGGGGTAGTTATATGTATGTCAGACAAAGTAGACTTTAGATGCTGCTGAGCAGCTAGATGGAGGTGTTGCTGCAGAACCCCCAAACTGGGTCCACTTGCCAGATGCACAGAAAGCCAATTACTGACTTTGGGGTAATGGAAGAAGATGGGTATTTATTACAAAGAAAAGAGCAAGGAGCCATACAGCTATTGCTTAATTCCCAGACTCCCAGAGGAGTTAGGGGTGTAGGCTTTTGTAGGTGGAAATTGGGGCTCAGAGGTGCTCCTGCTTGGTCAGTGGTGCTCATGACCTTCCTTTGATTGGTCAGTAATGTTGGGCTCAAACTAACAAAAGCTGCACATAGAGGAAAACTGAAAACATTTTCTCTAAAATCTGGACCCCAGGCCGGCACTGTGGCATAGCAGGTAAAGCCACTGGCTACAGTGCTGGCATCACGTATGGGCACAGGTTAAAGTCCTAGCTGCTCTACTTCTGATCCAGCTCCCTCTAATATGCCTGGGAAAGCAGAAGATGGTCCAAGTCCTTGAGCCCTTGAACCCATGTGGGAGACCCAGAAGAGGCTCCTGGCTCCTGGCTTCGGATTGGTCAGCTCCAGCTGTTGTGATCATTTGGGGAGCGAACCAGCAGATGGAAGACCTTTCTCTCCCTCTGCCTCCTATAACTCTGCCTTTCAAATAAATAAATAAATCTTTAAAAAAAGAAAAGATCTGGACCTCAAACAGGTTGTCCACTCTCACTGTTGTTATACAATGTAGTTCTGGAAGTTTTAACCAGAACTATTAGGCAAGATAAAGAAATAAAAATCCCACAGACAGGAAAGAAGTCAAGTTATCTGTGGCTACATATGACATGGTCATTCATATGTATTTTACACTGAAACACTATTAGAACTGATAAATTCAGTAAAAGTTGCAGTATGAAAAATCAACATACAAAAATCTAGCATGTTTTTATAGACTGATAAACTCACTGAGGAAAAAATTCTAAGAGCAATCTCATTCACAATGACTACAAAGACAGTACCTTGAAATAAATGCATTCAAGCATGTGAAGGACCTTTGCAAAGCAAATTATAAAATATCAATGAAACAAATTGATGGGGCAAGGTGTTTGGTGCAGCAGCTGAGACAACTTGGGACACTGTGAATTACCCCAGCATAAGTCCTGCCATAGGAAGAGGACTCTAAAAGGGGAAAGAGAAATCAACAGAGGTCTTAATAACCATAGAGACTGACATGTCAGATTAGAAGAGAATTGGACTGACATGTGGCCAGTTGTCCCCAGGAGACATTTGCAGAGAGCTGTGGCTAAGTATGCAGTTGCCTCAAAAATTAAAATATATTGCAGTGTCACGGAGTTTAGGAATCAACTCATTCTATAGGGAAAGACCTTCAACAAATACCCAGTAAGAAGCCTCCTTAAACCATGTCCCATGTTTTAATACCTATGTAGGATAGAAGGCTTAAGTAAACTTTGTCTACAACCTCTGAAAAGCAGAACTTGGAGATTAGAGTAGCAAGAGACCTGAAAACAGTTAACCAAAAAACCCAGAAGACTGTCCTCAGCAACGCTCATTACACCTGACATGACAGATAAAAATGGAACATATTACAATTTGCTTTCCTTCATATAGTATGCTAGGGATTAGACAGTTATCCAGCATTACTCATATTACTGATTAAGGTATACTATCATTTCGTAATCCATTATTTTGAATACACATAAATCTTAAATCTATTTTAGAATATATACAACTTCCACATAAAGTTATGAAACAAAGTTTTGTTCTGATTTCTTTTTGTGGTATGATTATATGCTCACAGTGAAAATAATTCAAAATGACACAAAAAGTAAAATGTAAACTACTCAGATTCACTTCAGTCAACCAAGTGAGCACTTGGCTTGATGATACCAATAAAGAGGTAAAAAATTTCCAGGAGAGGTAACCATCAGCATACATAATCTTAATGCAGAACTTTAGGAAAGAGGTTTCCCAAAATAGCAATGACAAAATAAGACATTATGAAATAGAACTTTTCATCTCATCTTGGAAAATAACATGTTCCTCAACTATCTTCGACAGATGAAAATGGGGAAACTTTTTTCTTTTCTTTTCTTTTTTTTTTTTTTTTTTTGATGAGGGAAGAGAAGAGCTAAGGTTTTTCTTGTTTTGCATTTTGAAGCAAAGTGACCCTAGGTTTTAACTTACATACTTAGGAACTTTAATGAATCCTTATGCTCTGGACGTATCTTGGAATAATTACTTTGGAATCTCTAAAGATGAGTACCAAACATAATGTTTATAGCTCCTTTGTGAATTCAATATGCAGCCATTACCAAAATTAAGATACACTGCTCTAGAAACTAATAGGACTTTTGAATATAAGGTATAATAGAATTATGGAGTTAAGTTGGAACGGTACCTTGAAATAGATTTTTCTTTATTCTCTTTCATTCATAATCTAAATTATGAAGAATGAATCAGTGATGCAGTGATATATGTAAAAGAGATGAACAGTTTGTCTTACA